TCATCTCTCCTGGTCTTGTCTTTCCTCATTAGAGCTACTCTTAGTCAAATACTTGAAAGTATTCAAAGATGCAGCTATATCATCTCATCCTGCACCATTCAGTTCATTACTCCATACTCTCATTGGAAAAGCAGTCACGTGATGTAAAAATCGTCCAACTTAACAATGGTCAACCTCAATCGTTTGCTAATCCTCTGCTGGACGAAGGCCTCCTGACACTGTGTTGATCATGGGGGTTGTTTGACTTTACGTCACCGTCCGTCACTCACAAAGCTGAACAGTGCGGACTGGTGAAGGGCGGACCCGGAACCGAGTCGGATAACACTTGACACTGACACTAACCATGGCCAAGAATCAAACCCAAGAGGGCTGGGTTCATAGCACTGCACCACAGCTACACCCTTTAATGCAGTAGATATATGAAGGCAGATGGATATGAAGAACAAATCCCATTATGCATAGCGCTGTTAGACTGTGACATTTATGCAAGCCATTCAAGCTGTAGCAAAAGGCATGGCCAAAAAATAGTAACAATCATGTGAAAACAAGAAGTCAAATCATGTCCCGGATCAATTTAGCTAAATGGCAACCGGCTGGTGTGCTTTACCACCTCTTGCACACCTACAGTGGTTACTCCATGGAAAGACTGGTCTGTGCCATAATCACGTGGAATTTCCATATCTGCCTCAAGTCTGTCAGCATGGAAGCGCAGAGCCCAACACAACGCTGTCTTGCCATTAAAATGTAGTCCCTGCAATGCTTGAACCCCAATGCCAGTACACTGATGACAGAATGCACCTCTTAATGAAGTCAACACATGTGAGAAAGGTTGCTACTTGGCTAATTAACTGGGACTGCTTTCATGACAGACACAATCCAGACAAGAGTAAGTCATATTTCAAATGAGTGTTAGAAAATTAGTCATTAACAGACACCTGTATTGGCGAAACGGAAACAAAATAAAAATACACACGGTTTCAGGGGATGAAATGTACCGATAATTAAATACGGTATCACTAATTATAAAAATACTGGCATAAAAAAATGTAGACTGTAAAACTCATTATGAGCTTACTTTAATTAGGTCACCATTTTAAATGAAGCAGATTTTTATGAACATTTAAATATGGCCAGGATATAGTTATTATCATGATCATGCTAGTTTACCCAGGAACGCCTCACAGAGTCTAAACACCTCTATTTAAGGGCGGTCCTGCAAACTGGGTGCCACGGTGATGAGATTTTAACGACTTTGCCCGGTATACATGAGGTCGTGGGTTTGATCCCGACCCTGATGTCTGTATATTTGGAGTTTGAATGTCTTTCACGCAGTCGTGTGGATTTTTATCCGAGTCCTCCGTTTTTTTCCTCCACATTTTGAAACATGTATTAAGAATATTTGGCTGATATGACAAGTCACTTGGTTGAGACATTATTTGTGGCCAGGTCGCTTCTTAAAAAGATCTACGTAGCTCAGTGGGCCTTACATGGTAAAATAAAATAGTTTAGTTTTCGCCGTAGTGGGTGATGTTGCCATGTGTAATCCCGATTGAGTAATTTGCAGGTATTTTATCAGCATTGAGATCTTTGGCCCACACTAGAAACATTGTATGTTTGTTTTTAGCTATGGGAGCAAACTAGAGAACATGGCGAAACCCACGCAAATCAGGGGGAGAGCCTACAAACTCCACAAAGAGCCCAGTCGAGAATTGAACCAAGACCCTTTGCACTATGAGGCACTGTGCCATCATGCTGTCCAAATACAGTCCATGACATAGATTGTTATTTGGATAAGCAAGCATCTCAATAAAGATACAGCCCTTTAATTAATTTATCTCTGCCGGTGGAAGAGCCCCATACGAGAAGCCGCTCTAGAGATCCTCTGTTGAGGGCATTTTGCCGAATGTTCTAAACTGGCCAGTGACGGGAGTAGCCACACTTTACCCCACCACATGCAACCTGCCAATCGACTAACTGGTGTACCCATTTAGACTGCTGTGTGGACAAGAGGTGAGGGCATTTAAGAAACTTGCCCATTTATTAAGAACAAAATAAAAAGCCTGCCCATTGTTTCAACAGTAGTGCCAGGAGACTTAAACGGCGACCTCTGGATCTCCACAACGCGCTTATGGCCCAAGGAGGGCCAGAAGCGCCTTGCAGGCATCCCGTAAATTGTTGTTGTGGCGTTCATCAAAGAACCTCCTACCCGGGCTAAGGGAAGTGAGCCAGGGGGTATCACCACCTGACTCTGATGCGACGTTGCGGCCTGGGGTCAAGTAAACATTTTTTTTTATTTTACCAGGGAAGACCCATTGAGCTTTATAGCTCATTTTCAGAAGCGACCTGGCCAAAAATGATTGCTAATGTGGGAATGTATAGCAGCCAATTACTCTAAACGCATGTTGATAATTGCGAGGGGAAAACCAGAGGACCCGGAAAAATAAATTCCACGCAAGCACAGGAAGAACATGCATACTCCAAATACGCAGCAGGCGTCAGGGTCGGGATAGAACCTACGACCTCCTGTATACCAGGCGAAGTAGTTAACATCTCAACAAAGTGGGGTGTGAGAGCATGGTTGTGCCTGCTAGGTTTTATGAGCGGGGCCTCTTAACACAATGCACCTGCAAACGTTGTGGTCGCCCTCCCGAGGCACGAATGATGGCGCTCACGTGGTTCAGTGACCCTCAGCATCCAGCGGAAAATTTGTCAAAAAAGTGCCTTGTAATCCCTGTGATCATTGACCGGTACTAGAGCACAGCACTCTTGCCTCTGAGAATAGATACATTTGCCTATCGTAGTGTCCCCTACGGTATGGAAAAATCGAAGTGCCTTCAGCCCCGTATCAATGGCTGATAAATAAGGGGGGGGGGGGGGGGCGAGCGGAAAACAATTGGAGCACACAAAACGCTTTCCTGCTCGCGTTCGTGACAGAGAAAAACTGGCTGGGTGATGACGCAAATGAGTTCTCGTGGCAGCGTGGCACTGTCAGCACATTACAAGCCGGTCCTTGTTACGTATGCTTCGTAATGGAGGGAGACGAAGCAAAAGCTCGTAGCCTTCACAGGTGCCTCAGTCCACGCTTTCCTCGATTAAGCTTAATTTTAGGTCACTTAATCCCAAAGTGTATTTGCTGTTTTGAATTGTTTTGTATGTCCCCTCTCCTCTGCCCTGTGGGCACCTGGCCTCTGGCTTGTCGTCCGTGGAACACCAGTACCCCTCCCCGCCGCCGTCGTTCGTGCTTTGTACCGGGCTTTTGTTCAATAAAAAACAATACTAAAACATATTATGTGTTGAGTTTTGACATGTATTAGTGTCCAATATACTGCCATATTTGCGGCAGTGCAATGTGGCAGTATCCAGAGTACTGCAGCATACTCAAGAGTTTTTGTTTTTTTGTACCAACACTCATTCAACACTGCGGAAGCCCGATCATGTGAATAGAGTGACCGGCTATTGCTCTTGGAGTTACAATACTCGGATACGACAGAAGGCACAGAGAGAGAGAGAGCAAAGGAGATAAAAGAGCAGGGAAAATAGGCAGGAGCACTCATGTTTGATGTCCTGTTGTTTGCGGGAGCATACGGCTGTCACGGCAAGGCCAGCCAAACACGAGGATGCGTAAATGCTCCGGTGATATCCAACACTCCGGGCTTTGAAGGGTCAATGCCCACGGAGAAAGACTTCATAAATCCCAAGTGTGTTCAACGCGAGTGCGTGTGATTGCCTGCACCAACTCTGCAGGTTTCAAAGTGGGAGCAGATGTATGCGGCGAGGGGGGGGGGTCATTTAAAGACAGAATGTACAATGACCTATTGTCTTTTCTTTAATTGAGAGGTTATACATTTTTTGCTCGTTGTCATGACAATTATGCATGACCTTGCCGTTTGGAACTTGACCATGTACACAGCTGTTTTTGGATTGTTTTTGTTGATCTTTCGTTTTTGTTGTCACCAGGTTTATACGGAGTACCCAGGACCCCAATGAAAAAGAGCATTTGTTGGCCAATCGGTTTCACCAGTGCCAAATAAAGCCAAAATAAACATGATTCAACGGCTTTCAAGCCCAGATATTTGTGCCTAATCGAGTCTTCATTTTGCTGAGGCAGACCAAGGGTCAGGTGATATGTGATGCTGAGTAATGTTCACTGCCTGGATCTATACCCCAAGATGGGGTTTCACAAATAAAACGAAGGATTTTACTCAAAGAGCTGAGAAGTTCAAGTGACCTTGAGAAAAAACATTGTTTGAATGTTTTTGTTTATCAAGTATGCCAAGCCAACATAAGGCTCCAATAACCCAGTCAATGCAAAGACAAAATAGCAACTCTGTAATGTATAAAGGATGTGTACACACAGCGCATTGTGGGAAATAATTCAGGTGAATTGCCTTTCTGTATTGTCTCGCTGCATAGCAATAAGCAAGTAGGGAATGGGCAACTATCGTGATCCTGCTCAGTGATTGTCAAACAACTGGCAGATGTGCACAATGCTCGTTATCCAACTGACAGGTGATAAGAAAGACAGCTCATGTGGAAAGATGAAATGAAGCAGCTTGGGAAGGAGGGTTTAGCTCAACCAAAGTACAGATGGTCCACACCTCATGCTTTACAATACTGGATATATCAAAGATAAACAACAAACACAAGCAAATCGTGACCATTCCATAACTGTGACAAAAGCTTTGATAACAATCTCGAGTATATGCCTCCCTTTATATGCTCCATTGTTTATCAAAACAATTAATTCCTCCAAACCTGTATATTTTTTCTTTGCGTTATTGTTTTTGCTTGATGCATTTCCAATTTGCAGCGCCTGTTACGCAACCAGGGGCGTTTTATCTGGATACGATCGAAAGCGGTTTGCCGTATTATTCTGCTTCCATTCAATTAACGGAAGTGGGCACACAAAGCGAGCGGAATCAAACATGCTTGGCTGAGTGCGATCGCTGAAATTATTATGCTCTGGCAGATGCACGGGATGTAATGTGCACATTACTCACCCAGTCCTAATAAATCAATGGCGGGTTCGGCCGCCGTTTGTACAGCTGGTGTCCCCATGCTTTGTTGCTCTTGCGGCTTCTGTGCAAAAGAAGGAGGAGGAACATTCTTTGTTAACCCCCATCAGGGGGGGTAATTTTCCTTCCATCATTCATCATCATAATCATCATTATCATCAACATTTCTCTTGCTGATGCTGGATGAGCAACACTCCACGTACATTTTTCTATTGTTATACGTAGCTCTGTTTTGTTTCATTCCAATGCAATTGTTTAATGTATGGCATATTTAAAAGTTACCATCATGAATCATAAATACGTAGGCTTTCGCGACCAATATTATACATAAGAGATTTTTGGGGTTGGATCGCGGAAATATGTGTCGTTAAATCCACCACCACCCAATTCTGTCTTTCGCCTGATGAGACTCGTTGTAATTTCTGGCGAAACGTCATACTTCAATTGTAAATATTGTGGGTTTTACTCTCCAACACACCGGTGTGCTGAACTCGTATCTAATTGGCATGTTTTGTTTACGTGACAAAACTGACTAATTGGCTGTGTTGGGTGGTGGCGGGTTTAAACACATTCCTGCGGAGGGAGCTGGTAGGAACGTTGGGTTGCTCGGTCAATGGCCAGGGTCAACGGCGGCGTGGTGTATTCCGCAAATATGGCCGACTGTGAGGGTGGGCACAAGCCGGCGTGAGTAGGTTAAACGTTGAGTTTTATAAGGGCACCACGGGGAGACCAGCCCCTCCCCACCCAGCTCCACAACCCTCCCTCCCACCCCCCACCCAGCCCCACCCTCCCCACCCAGCCCCTCCCCACCCTCCCCACCTAGCCCCTCCCCACCCTCTGCTCTCCACCCAGCCCCACCCCTCCCATGTTTGGATGCACAACGGACGGACACAATAATCCCCTGTGGGCTGGTGTAACCAGGAGGTTCCTACTAGTATAACACATTTATATTTATGCGATCTAACCCAGAAACCTCTATTATGGATGAATCATAAATATCCATTCTCAGTTCACTGCTGAATGAAAAGATACCAATTTATTGTATCCAACAGTAGAGACATACCTATCAACTCTAGCAATGAGACTAGCCAAAGACACATTTAAAATACAGTCTGCCAAGTTGTTACACTGTATTTATTGTAAGAATCAATGAGATATTGCGTTGCAATATTTAATTCATGGATCCATTCCCAATTAGAAGCGCGCATTCGTGCCCTGACACTTGCACCTACTTTCAACCCACAATGCACACTGTTGGCTACGTACAGTGCGAAAGAAGTTCAACATACACACGTACAAGTGGGTTGTGTTTGAAGCGAAGGTGATTTTGTAACGTAAGTGGATTCATCTTGTCAAAAGGTGACGTGTGTTTCCATGCAGCGCAATCAACAACATTTAACAATATTTGTTACTTTTGCAGGAGCATAGATTTTGTAATTTTTTACCCGCCGAGTTTCTGTGCCCCTCCGTGTACATTGCGGTTCATGCTGTGTATCGGGCTTTTGTTGAAAAACAAATATATATATTTGACCTGATTTGTAAATGCTGGCATAATACTCATGTGGTCGAACCAAAAATAAAATCAATCTGTTTTGTGTTTCCACGCTCAAATAATCACGGAGTAAAAAATACTCACCTCTGTTGGCAATTCTGCACCGGTGGTGGATTTTCCACATTCACACAATGCATGTACTTGCTCAGACCAATGCTGGCAGAATGACCTCCACTAGAGGAAGCTCACGAGTACCCATCTAGAGGATGTTTGGCCTATTCTCTAAATTGACTAACTGTAGGCAGGAGGATTTAAGAAGCGTTGCCCCCTTTGTTTGAACTGTCGTGCCAGGAGGTAGAATCGAACCTGCGATCTCAGGACTGCAAGTGCAGAACGCTACCCATTACACGATGGCAGCATGCTGACATGATCATGTGTGTTGCATCCACAGTATTGAAAGATGTGCAGAAATAGGATGCTAAGATGCCATTAATCGAACATGAAGGCTCTTGAAAAGTATGAATACAACGTGGGTAATTTCTGAGGGTCCTGGACAGTGCCGATTCATATAATCCACACTTTGGTTTTCTAGAAGAAGAAAAAAGTGTTTTTCGTGGAAAAGAGACTTAGATACTCATGTGTTTAAACCTTTACTACCCCACCCACTCCCCTCCCCCCAAATGTTATAGGACATTATTAACAACATCTACAAAATGTAAACTTTCCAACTGATGATGGAAAATATATTGCGATGGTATTTGGATAATTAAGCACATTTGCTTAAATATAACTGGCAACAGTTAACTTCTGCTGTGCAGAGGGCATACGACCTAGAACATACACACAACTTTAAATAGCTACTCTGTGGCATGAACGATAATTCAATTAGTAAACAATTAATGAACCATTGAAAGCAGATACAAAAAAAAGTGAAAGACAAGGTCAGCTCAACAAAATTAGCGTTTTGACAATTGAAACTCATGGCGGAATCCCGGGGTCCAATAGGCCCCCGGCTCTCACATAAACATGAAATTATAATGCAAACAAAAACTTTGCTCCTTTTCACCAATGGGTTAGAAGGATGGTGGCTCCTGCTGTTGTGGAGTGACTCATGCAGCCAGCTATGGCTACAGGGTGTGGTGGTACATGTTGTTGATGTCGTTAATTGTGAAATTTCGGTCACAGTTCCTATGATCACTGTCACATTGCTTATGGCTTTATTTTGGTGATTTCGAAAAGTGTTTTGGTTTGGTGATGTTTGCTTGTTGTAGTACGGAGTTAGAATGATGGCTTTAATCTAAGTTGTCTTGTGGTTGTTGTTTGACTTGCATCCCACTGGGATTTTGCACAGCGTTGGTGTACGGTGCTTTTTTTCTGGAAGACAGTTTTTTCCTGGATTTTTCTGTTTGCGCATAGTCACTTTAAGATGTTTTCTTGTTCATGTTTTTGTTTTTTGTTTGTTGCGGTTTCACCCGATTCAAGAGCCGAATGGCTCACAGGGCTATACCAAATAAATGAAACTGAAAACTGAAACTGTTATCTTGTTAAACTATGCCTTTAAAACTGAAAACTACTTACCTATATACCTACTTACCTGCAGTACCTCTATTTAAATACACTATCGAAAAAAATATTTACACCCTTCTGTCAATCATCGTGTTTCTCAGTGTGGATTTGTGAACACACTTTGTAAACAGTAAATGAAATAGTACGCATTTTCATTGCGCTGTTCATATTGTAACACGCGTTTATATAAATGTTACTCTACAGAGTAGTGTGGTCTCCGCTCCTCTTATCTGCATTGATACGAGAGGTATGTGGGGACTATGGCTTAACCGGAAAAAAAAAACTATCTGCACAGATGCATACGGACAAGAGAAGTATTATCAAACAGGAGGAATTAATAGTGCAACGCATCTCATCTGTTAAATATCTGCAGGTAATAGTATTGTCATCGATTGATCCTGGATGCAGACATTGGTAGGTCACAACTAACAATGAAGATAAGAGAGCAGTTTCACTGTATTATGCATACCGTGGTGACAAATAAAGGACTTAAGTCGTGTCGGCAGTTTGAGCAGCTTTGGGTAAGACTTATGATCCTGCCCATACCCGAGCATGGAGTGCATTCGCTTGTTCAGCTTTTCTGCGCATTCGTCCTCGCTGCGCTTGGACGACATAACAACAGAATGATCCGCGCCAGGTGGGTCGCGGCGTTTATGTGCGCGGTGGGACGAAGTCTCCAAAAATATTTTTTTTTATTCAGGACCCCGGGGTCCTGCCATGAGGTTCAATTAATTGAAAACGACAAATTATCTTGCAAGTGGGTCCAACGAGTGTTTACTTGATTTTCATCCACAAAGCAATCACAGAGCTCTTAATAATCACTGTGGCTACCAGGGCACAACGCAGGGTGGTATGGCCAATACCATGCCCAGCCTTCTTCGACTTCCCACTGCAGATGTTCCACACACCAAACTAAGTCCCCATTTCAGGCTGGGCTGAAAGATCTGATCAAGCCAGTCTCAGATAAAGTATTCATCGGCAATTGTATTGTACTTGACCAAGAATAAACCCAGGTCACAGGGAAGTGCATTGTGTGAAATAACACAGCATTGCGTCCCCACTCCTATAGACAAAAGATCAACGATCCCCCGTGTAGCCTAAATAGATTGTTGAGGAAAGTGTTGTTAGTGATCAGCTATTAAGGCCAGTGTGGAGAACAAGGGGGTATTAAGCACATGAATAAATGTGCAACTTTTATTACCTAGGTTTTTACGAGCAGTGTGAACAACACCATGCATGGCCACCTTTTTACTCACCAAACCAGATACTGGTTTCAGGGCGAGTCAACCTAGGGAACGCCCAGAGGGCCCATGGCCAGGAATCGAAGGTGAACCTCTTGATTCATGTCACACATGAAGTAAACTACTGCAATACTGCACACAATATGAACAATTTACAGAGCCTTGAGAGCCATCCTCAGGCTTCCATGTTCTAATGTCATAACTTAAATTTTTTTAATAAACACCTCTATCTAAATAAAAATTCTAACTCTGAACCTTTGGACCTGAATAGAGTATTCCCTCATTATTCACGAACTTGCTATCCGCAATTTTGGCTATCCGCAAATCGCATCTGGAACGCTACACGATTGCATTGAGAAAGAGTGATGAGAGATAAAGTGATGAGAGAGAATGTGATGTGAGAAAGTGATGAGATAAAGTGATTAAATAAAGTGACGAGATAAAAATATGACAGACACATAATTGTAATGTATTTACCGTATTTTCCCGCATATAACCCGCGGGGTATACCACTTTTTATAAACAAAACAAGACCCAGCGGGGTATATGGAGGTGCAGGCTATCCCAAAAATATTTTACACGTGTGACATGTCATAACTCGTTTAATTTTTCATGGTAAGACTATCCACTATGCAACACTTACCTTTGACTAAAGCACTGCTGAATAAACCACTCACACTAAAATTGCACATGTTAACACGTTTTTAATGATTCGAATTTTTGTACAATGAAACGACAATGTTTGAAGTGGGCGCACTTTGTTTA